GGTTTTTTAAGTTGGAACCTTTTATTATTCTCACAACTTTTCTAGTTTTATCTTTTGAAAATATATTGAAACCTTTATCTTTCCCCTTAGTACCATCGCTTTTAATACATAACAACCATTTTTTCCAACATCATGAAGGAGAGGAGCATCAGCCACAATCACATCCAAGATACATGCAATATGCGAAAGTCCAAGGTAGTTTATTTTTCTTAAAAAACAAGTACAAGCTTGGTTTACTAATTGTCTAATCCTTAGTAGAATAGTTAGACGTAGTCACGTCCTCATACAAAAACCTAGACAATTATTGCTCCACCTTATGATGCTGGCGAAGCCAAGGGTCCCCTCCTCCTCTGTCCATTGCTTCGGCGATGGGAGGGGGTGGAGACCGTGGATCGCTGTTTCGGCGCTATAGTTGGGTCTGTTAGGATTATACTTTGGTACCCTGCCGATGGTGATGTTATGAACGTAGCAGAAATTCAAAATTTTCCTACGTGTCACCAAGATCTATCTATGGAGAAACCAGCAACGAGGGGAAGGAGAGTGCATCTACATACCCTTGTAGATCGCTAAGCGGAAACATTCAAGAGAACGGGGTTGAAGGAGTCGTACTCGTCGTGATCCAAATCACCGGAGATCCTAGTGCCGAACGGACGGCACCTCCGCGTTCAACACACGTACAGCCCGATGACGTCTCCCATGCCTTGATCCAGCAAGGAGAGAGGGAGAGGTTGAGGAAGACTCCGTCCAGCAGCAGCACAACGGCGTGGTGGTGATGGAGGAGCGTGGCAATCCTGCAGGGCTTCGCCAAGCACCGCGGGAGAGGAGGAGGGAGAGAGGTAGGGCTGCGCCAGGGAGAGGTGAAACTCATGTGTTGGCAGCCCCAATACCCTCAAGTATATAAAGGTGGAGAGGGAGGGCTGCGCCCCCACCTAGGGTTCCACCCCTAGGGGCGGCGGCCAGCCCAAACCCATCTAGGGTGCGGCCAAGGGGGGGAGAGGGGAAACTTGCCCCCCAAGTTAGGTGGGTGCACCCCCTCCCCCAAACCCTAGGCGCCTTGGGCCCTTGTGGGGGGGGCGCACCAGCCCACCTGGGGCTGGTACCCTCCCACACTTGGCCCATGCAGCCCTCCGGGGATGGTGGTCCCACTTGGTGCACCCCCGGTGTAACGCCCTCGATGCGGCTATATCTCCCACGTGTCGAAGCACGACTTAGAGGCATAACCGCATTGAAAGCAATGTCGCAAGAGAGGTAATCTTCACACAACCCATGTATTACATAAGGGAAAGAGATACATAGTTGGCTTACAGTCGCCACTTCACACAATACATAAATAAACATCCATCATTCAGTTTACACTCAAGGTCCGACTACGGAACCAAAATAAAAGAAGACTACCCCAAATGCCAACACAGATCCCTGGTCATCCCAACTGGACTCCGCTACTGATCGTCTGGAAATGAAACATAGTAACGACCAAGGGCCTCATCAAATTCCCACTTCAGCTCAGTTGCGCCATCTGCGCTGGTATCATCGGTACCTCCATCTGTTTTGGTAGAATCTGTGAGTCACGGGGACTCAGCAATCTCACACCCTCGAGATCAAGACTATTTAAGCTTAAGGGAAGGCTGGTGTAATGAGGTGGAGCTGCAGCAAGCGACTAGCATATATGGTGGCTACGATCGGAAAAGAGAGCGAGAAGAGAAGCAAGGCACGATCGTGAAGCTAGTAGCGATCAAGAAGTGATCCTAGAGCAACCTGCGTCAAACATAACTCCAACACCGTGTTCACTTCCCGGACTCCGCCGAGAAGGGACCATCACGGTTACACACGCGGTTGATGTATTTTAATTAAGGTCAACTTCGGGTTTTCTACAACCGGACATTAACAAATTCCCATCTGCCTCATAACCGCGGGCACGGCTTTCGAAAGATAATACCCTGCAGGGGTGTTCCAACTTAGCCCATCACAAGCTCTCACGGCCAACGAAGGAATAGACCTTCTCCCGGGAAGACCCGATCAGTCTCGGAATCCTGGTTCGCATGACATTTCGACAATGGTAAAACAAGACCAGCAAAGCCGCCCGATTGTGCCGACAAATCCCGATAGGAGCTGCACATATCTCGTTCTCAGGGCACATCCGGATGAACACTACATACGGCAACCGAGGATACCCCAAGTTGCCTCAGGGCGGCACCGCAAGTGGCTCTAGTTTGGACCAACACTCAGAGGAGCATTGGCCCGGGGGGGTAATAAAGATGACCCTTGGGCTCGCGAAAACCCAAGGGAAAAAGGCTTAGGTGGCAAATGGTAAAACCAAAGTTGGGCCTTGCTGGAGGAGTTTTATTCAAAGCGAACTGTCAAGGGGGTCCCATAAATCACCCGACCGCGTAAGGAACGCAAAATCAAGGAACATAACACCGGTATGACGGAAACTAGGGTGGCAAGAGTGGAACAAAACACCAGGCATAAGGCCGAGCCTTCCACCCTTTACCAAGTATATAGATGCATTAATTAAAACAATAGATATTGTGATATCCCAAAATATATGTGTTCCAACAAGGAACAAACTTCATCTTCACCTGCAACTAGCAACGCTATAAGAGGGGCTGAGCAAAGCGGTAACATAGCCAATCAACGGTTTGCTAGGAAAGGATGGTTAGAGGTTGACATGGCAATATGGGTGACATGATATAGCAAGTGGTAGGTATCGCAGCATAGGCATAGCAAAAGAGCGAGCATCTAGCAAGCAAAGATAGAAGTGATATCGAAGGTATGGTCATCTTGCCTGCAAGGTTCTCAGAGTTGTCGAAGGCTTGATCCTCGTAGGCGTTCTCAACAGGTTCCTCGTTCACGTACTCGTCTCCCGGCTCTACCCAAAGCAAGAACACAAGCAACGGAACCACAATCAAACAAGGAACAATGCACAAGCAATAAGATGCAATACATGACATGCTATGCGAGATGTGATATGCAATGCATATGTGTGCTCCGGGAGGAAAATGATGAACCGGGCATCAACTTGGCAAACCAAGTATGCCGCTGGAAAGATGGGATGATTTCGGTTGGAATCGATATAAAGATCACCGGAACCGGATGCACGGTTTGCAAATGACAAGCAAAACAAGAATGCCGCGAATCTGCGTTTAACAGCACGATGCTACTTAGCATGCAACAAGAAACTATGCTACAACACCCCAACATGCAAACAAGGCATATGACAGTGACCTACAGGAGATGTTTAACAAAAGAGGAACACTGAGCTACGGCTAAATCACATTATAACAGGTTCAAACAAGCATGGTGAAAGTGCAAAAAATATCAGGTTCACAGACTTAGTGAAAATACTAGTATGCCAGAAATTAACATCAGGAAGGCATGTTTAGAGCAAGCAAACAACAAGCTACAGGAACTTATAATAGCAAAACAAGGCATGACATGATTCTACTCAAAGCATAGATCAAAAGTCCCTTACTGACCATAAGCCAAAAAGGACCATAAGGAATGATGGCACCCATGTAAACATAGCAAGTTTTATTAACAGTTTCAGACTTAGTGAAATTTCAGGACATGGCAAAAACAGATTCAACATGGCATCTTTACAAGCTTGATTAACTCACTACCAGGCATATCATGGCATGGAACAAGTACTAGCATGAAGTAGGCATGAAAAAGAAGCTATCCTTGTGCAAAACAACCTCATAGCATGCTTGGGATAAACCACACAAAAATGACAAGACAACATCATGATGTAAAATGACTTGTTCATGAACTTGCTCAAATGCAGAAACTAATGCCACCACTGGATTGGTGGGATTTTTTACCCCAAAAACATATATAATATGATAGGGTTGCTGTAGAAAAATATTCACAAGTGCATTAAGTTAAAACCTGCCTAAAATGGTAATTGACAGAAATGGCATTTTCCATAATTGGAAACGTCCAGAAAAGGACTTGCCCGAAATGGAAAGGTACTACATGCCAGAAATGGTATATGTGCAGGAACAGAAATAAAACACTTAATAAAAATAAAAATAGACAAATAAAATAAATAAAAATAAAGAAAACAGACATGCTAAGAGTGTATGACAGGTGGGGCCACCCTGTCATACGCACAGTGCAAGAAATGGATTAAAAAAGGGGGGTTAATATGCAGCCGCGAGGGATTGAACCCGGGTCTCCCCGGTGTGGCTCTGCTACTGCAACCACTGGGCTAGGCGGGCG